TTTACGTACAACATCACTAATGTGAAAATACGTTTAATATGAACATAAATGTATAGCCAAAAATAAAAAAATAAAAAAAAAGAGCTAACTGGTCACTTTGGAGAAAGTGGGGAAGAAGGCAGGAGCCAGACCACAGGAAACAGGCAAGGAGTGGCGATGGCTTTTGGCCCTGAAAGGGAAGAAAATGAGAGAGCAGTTTTAGGGAACAGCCCTGTCCAGTGAGGATGTAACAGCACAGAGATCAAAGATTACGCTGTGAGGGCCACCTACACCCCTGACCTCTCCACGGTGTCCTAGAAACCTCTTCCTCCACAATCACAGCAGGTCAGTAACTCTCACTCTGGAAGGACCTTCAGTGCCCTGGGCCCCTCCCTCTGATCCAGCCAGGTATCAGAGACGTTGGCTTTGGCTAGAAGAAAAGCCACATCTTCATCAGAGACTGGGATGAAGACGAGAATGGAGGTGGCGGTCAAGGGGGGACTGAAAGAGAGTAGGGGAAGACAGAGGTTCAGGAGGGTGTCTGTCTTCTCAGTGAAGTATGACCTGAGGTCCTCTGGTGTGAGGGCAAGGGAAAGCAGAGGAGAGAAAATGTGGAACAGCCTCTATAAGGAGTGCACCAGAGAATGAGGGAGGAGTCAAAGGTTTGCCTGGTGAAATGAGGTGAACACGTCTGCTGGAAACCAAGCAAACTATCACTTCCTCTACTGCCATTCAAGACCAAGTGAGTAGACTCAGAGGAGGGGGCTGGTGGGACAGGCTCTAGATTGGGAAGGGGAAGGAAGCCAGAGCAGGGGGGAGGGCCTATAAGAGTCTGAAGAGGGGAGGGGGAAGATCAAGAAGAGGTCAAGTGCAGCACAGAAAATGGCACAAGATATCATGGCCAGCTCCTTGATCATGGGACTTGGTGGGAATCACATGTCACTTGGCCACCACCCAGGGTTTGGCCTTCTCTTCACGTTCCCTGAGGTCGAGTTGAAGAGGTCACCACTGGAACCGAGACTGAAGGACTGGGAGACCAGGGTGTTGGAGGGATCATCAGCATGAATGGTTAGGTCCCCTAAATAGGGCAAAGGATGAGGTAGACAGGAAGACTGAATGAAGTACTGAACTCTGGGCAGCTGGGTGGCCCAGTGGACAGCATGCCAGGCCAGGGAGACTCATCTTCCTTCCTTCAAATCCGGCCTCAGGCAAGTCACCCTGCTTGCCTCAGTTTCTTCATCTGCAAAATGAGCTGAAGACGATGGCAAACCACCGCAGTATCTCTGCCAAGAAAACCCCAAATGGGGTCATTCAGAGTCAGACTCGAAAGAACAACAGAATAATCATGAGAGCTAGCACTTTTAAAGCTTGCCAAGTGGTAGATCCTGACAACCCGGGTAAGTAGATATTTATTATCCCCACTTTGCAAATGAGAAAACTGAGGCCGAGAGCCTGTTAAGGGACTTACCCAGGGTCACGGAGCTAATAAGCTTCCGAGGAAGGATTTAAACTCAGGTTTTCCTAATTCCAAATTTAGCAGCTTCCTTCCTGACAGGAGACCTTTCCTGATCCTTTATACCACAGGTTCTTAATGGAGGTCCATGAAATTGGTTGTTTGCTTTTTTTTAATAGTCTGATAATTACATTTCAACATAATTGGTTTCCTTGGTAATCAGCATACAAAAACATGACTCTGAGAAGGACCACAGGCTTCACCAAACTACCAAAGGGGGAGCAGGCAGGTGATGCAGTAGATAGAGCACCGACCCTGGAGTTAAGAGGACCTGGGTTCAAATCAGACCTCAGACACATAATATTTCCTAGCTGTGTGACTCCAGGCAAGTCACTTAACCCCAACTGCCTCACCAAAAAAACAAACAAAAAGAAACAAAAAAGCAAACTACCAAAGGGGTCCCAGACACAAAAATGGCCAAAGACCTCGACTCCTCGATCCCACTGCTTCCCCCAGAAACGACAGTATAGACAGCTTCCAAGTACCGATCTAATATGTACAGGCTGTTCCTCCTGATGGACTGAAGCTCCTCGAGAGCCAAGCCAGTTCCATTTTTGTCTCTGTATCACTGGGGAGAAGACTGGGGCCTGGCAACAGAGGAGGTGCTTAAGGAAATGCCAGTGGACTGATGGGCTGAGAAAGTCTTCTTCAAGAAACAGAAAGCCTTGGGATGCCAGGTAGCGGCTTCATCACTTCTGCCAGCAGAAAGCCACGATGGGCATCGGGAGGCAACCTGTGGGAAAGTTCTGGATTGGTCACCAGAGGGTTCAGATCCCAGCTCTGGCCCCTAAAGCCTGTGACCACGGGAGGCCACTGGATTCCTCTGGGCTCTGAGTTTCCTCATCGGTAAAAAGTCTGAGTAACCACTAAGGTCCCTTTCCCTCCAGTTCTAAAGGATTCAGAAGAGAAAAAAAAGAGAAGGGAAGAACTGGTTAAGAAAATAGTGTCTGAGGATAGGATTTGGCGCTAACAATTAGGAGAATGCAAATCAAAATAAAGGAGAGGCCCCCTTGGACAGTTGCTGGAGGGGCTATGGGAAGACTGGCACACTAAGGCATTGTCAGTAGAGCAGGGAGTGGATCCAGCCTTTCTGGAAATCCAAAGTCACTAAGTCTGGCATACTCTAAGGCAGTGACATTTATGCTCCAAAGAGAATAAGAAAAAAGGGGGAAAAAACTCGTTTGTTTTTGTACAAAAGTATTTGCAGCTGCTCTACTTGTTGTGGCAAAGGACTGAAAACTTAGGAGCTGCCCATCAATTGGGGAATGGTCAAACAAATGATGGGATGCGGGAATATAACAGTATGGCTGGGTCCTAAGCAGTAACGAAAAGGGCAGATTCAGAGAAACCTAGGAAGGGGCATATGAACAGAGGCAGAGTGACGAGAGCAGAATCACAACTAGTTATGCAATGACTATTACACTGTAAAGAACAACTTTGACAGAAATGATTACGCCCTGTGATTAACGCAGCAACCTATTCACAATTCCAGGGGACAGATGATTTGTTTTTTTCCTCTTCTTTTTTCTGCTCTGAGTTGGGGACTATGTGGAGATTGAGCGAGGGAGATAAGCAATAGTATTTATTTTTTATTTTAAAAGCAAAGAACGAAAGGAGGGTCAAAACACAGAAGTGAACAAGAAAATTCAGATGGCAACATGGAAAAGCAATACCAAAAAAATGTTTTTTAATGGGATTTGGGGGGCAGCTAGGTGGCACAGTGTTTAGAGCTAGCAACGGCCCTGGAATCAGAAGGACCTGAATTCAAATAATTCAAATTCAGCTCAGACACTTCCTAATTGTGTGACTCTGGGTAAGTCACTTGACACCAATGCCTGAAAACAAACAAAAAAATCCCACAAAGAACAGAAAATGGGATTTGGATTCCTAGGCTAAGGCTTAAAACACACAAATAACAAGATCTTGGTCAAAAATAGAGTACAGCTGGCAGCAGTTAGATGGTGAAGTGGATAGAGCACAGGCCCTGGATTCAGGAAGACCTGAGTTCAAATCTGACCTTGGACACTTGACACTTACTAGCTGTGTGACTCTGGGTAAATCACTTCACCCCACTGCCTCACAAAAAAAAAAGATTATCAATAGAAAAAAAATTAAATTTATGAGCAGCTAGTTGGCCCGATGGATACAACTCCGGCCTTGGAGTCAGGAGGACCTGAGTTCAAATCTGGCCTCAGACATTTGATTCGTACTAGCTGTGTGACCCTTGGCAAGTCACTTAAACCCGGATTGCCTCACCAAAAAAAAAATAAAATAAAATACAGCTAATGAGGACTGGTACTTAGCACTTTTTTACTTGGAGCATGGGGGGTCTTAACAGTTTTTGTGTCACTGTGCCTTTGGCTATCTGGTGAAACCTATGGACCTGTTCTTATAATAATGTTTTTAAGTACATAAAGTGAAATACTTAAGATTAAAAAGGAGAAAAACTATATGAAAATACAGTTATCAAAATATTTCAAAAAATCGAGTTGGAGGACACCAGGTCAGGAACCTCTTAAGGGCTTGCTTCTAAATCTTAAATTCAAGGCTTTAAACTGAAGGGGGTGGGAAAAAAACGAAGTAGCCAGTGTAGAGCCACCGATGAGAAACCAGAGAACAGCAATGAAGTAGCCAAAAGAAAGCAGGAAGGCCACTCGACGTGCAAAGGTGTTGAGGCCAAGAGAGGAGTCTTCCATGCTGGGTGACCAACCGTACAAGAGCGGGCTGTGGGGTTCAGCCCCCGAAGGTCTCTAGATAAACTGGTTCGGGATGGCTGTTTGCTGAACGCATATAGTCAGGATTCTTTTCCAGATACAGAAACCGTCCCCATCCCACACAAACGCCAAAATAGTGCCCTAAGTGGCTGGCCACTGGCAGGGGGCCACTGGGGGCAGTCACATCACAAAAGTGCCAAGGGGCTACTGGGGGCAAGCGTGACACCACCGATCGTCAGTTCTCCCTCATCTCTAGTGGGATCAAGGGAGACTCTTCCAACCAAACCAGGTGCACGAGTGTCCCGGCGAGTCACCCGAATGGACTCAACCCACAGGAGGGGACACCACGACCGCACCGATCCTGATGGAAACAAGGTTTCCGGTCACCAGAGTCCATTTCCGAGGAGGACCGAGAAGAGAGCACGACTCCCACCCCACCCCCTCTCCCGTCCACTGATTCTCGTGTATACGATCGGCTCCTACCGAGCCCGGGGTTCCACCAGCACCGTCGAACATCCCCCCCCAGCGCCGTGTACGGCGGCCCGCGGAGGGGCCAGGGCGTCCCGGGGGCCGGCACCGGGTGGCGGGAGGGAACCGACCACTCCCCCCCCCGGCTATGACTGGGGGCCGCCGTCGCAGCCGGACCCCAGGCTCGGCCCCTCCGGGCTCAGCGGCCCCCATCACCACCCCGGGCAGACCTCGGCCCGCCTTCCCGAGCCTCGGCGTCCTCACCTGGGCTACGGGGGCCCCGGCCCCGCCCCCCCACCTCGCGGGGTCCCCCCGCCCCGACTCACGGGCTTGCCGGGGTACGCGTCGGCCAGGTGCGCCTTGAGGCGGCCCACGGTCCACTCGGCGGGGCAGCGGATGGTCTGGTCGCTGTAGCGCTGGTTGGGCGTCTTAATGACCAGGGTTACGGGCAGCGTCTCGGAGCCGCTCGGGCCCTCCATGGCGGCGGCCGAGGGCGGGGGCCGGGCCGGGCCGGGCCGGGCCGCGAGGGAATTATTCCGAGTCCGGCTCAGTCACAAATCCACGGGCCGACGACGCGCGGCAGCGGCGGGCCATGGGCGGGCGGGGCCGCGGGGGCGGAGTGGGACAGTCCCCGCCGGCTCCGGCCCGGCCTCCTCCGGCTCCAGGCTCCGGCTGCGGGGCGGGGGGGGGGGGGGGGGGAGGGGGAAGGGCCCCGGCCCCCGCCCGGCCCCGGCCCCCCCCGGCCACGCAACAAGGCGACCACCGACGGGGCGGGGGCCGGGCCGGGCCGGGCCTGCAGGGCTGGGCTGGGCTCAGGCGAGGCGGGGGCCGCGCCGGCCTCTCCCCTCCTCGCTCCCTCCGGGCGGTCCGAGCAGGGACACGGGGACGGAAGCCCGGCCGGGCCGAGCGGCGGCGTCAGAACGAGGCCGGGTCCGCGGGGACGGAAGCCCGGCCGGGCCAAGCCGCGGCGTCAGAACGAGGCCGGGTCCGCGGGGACGGAAATCCGGCCGGGCCGAGCCGCGGCGTCAGAACGAGGCCGGGTCCGCGGGGACGGAAGCCCGGCCGGGCCGAGCCGCGGCGTCAGAACGAGGCCGGGGCGGCCGTCGGCAAGTGGGAGGCCTCCACCCGGGAAATTGCCCGCGGCCTCAGTCACAGCCGGCAGGCGCCGCCCCCGAGGCCGCCCGCAGAGGAGGGAGGCAGCGAGGGCAACTCGCCCTCGGGGGCCCGGGCCTCCTCCTTGCGGAAGACGCCGGCTAGGCGGCCGCCTCTCCCCGGCTCCGCCCCTACCCCTGCGACCCGGCCCCGCCCGGCGCTCTCGCGAGGGATGGAGGGAGGAAGCGGGGAGGGGCGGGGCCAAGTACAGGGGGAGGGCTAGAGGGTGTTGCGTCTGCGCGGTGAAGAGAGGGCGGGGCATTGGGAAAGTGACTAGCGGCTGGATCGGGCGCGCTCGCGCCTTGGTGTGCCGGGAACGCGCCCGGGCCACCACGGGCTGACGTGCTTTCGGGGAGCGGAAGTGCGTCACTGCAGGGAGGACTCCGGGGGAGCTAGGCGGAGCCCTGCCCCACTTTACGGGCGGAGAAACGGAGGCTCGACTTCGGAGTGGGGCAGGGAGAGGACGGAGAGGTTGGAGTGGGTGACCCCCAAGGGTCACGCTGCCAAGCCTGGCAGCGGCTCTTGTGATTGTGGCCTGCCCGGACTTTGTGCCGAGGGTCGGAGCCCCACTTCTCCTCGGGGTAGCCCACCGCGCCGGGCTTTGGGAGGAACCTTATAATTATCATCTTCACTTGGGCCTCACTCCAACCCCCGGGGAATCAGCCCCGTTTTACAGAGGAGGAAACTGAGGCAGGCAGGTTAGCCACACAGCTAGTAAGAGGTCTGATGCAAGACCCAGATCTTCCTCACCGAAGCACAGGGCTCTGTCGGCAGCCTGAGGAGGAGGAGTTGGAAGGGGCTGGGGGGACAGAAAAATGGGAAATGAGCAGCTCTACTGGGGAGGGGGGGGATCAGGAGAGGAGTCCTCTGGCCCCACCTGCCCAGACACCTGGAGGGATTCGGGCCGACCTTCCCAACAGAGCTGGATCCTGGGGACTTGTGTGGCAATACTAGCATTGCACCGTCTGCCTCTGACTCCTTTGATTTCCTTCGTCTTGAAAAGATCTCGCCTCCATCCTCTTTTCTTTCTCCCCATCCCTTGTTCTTTTGCATCAGCTCCCACCCAGGACCCACCAAAGAGTCATCAAACCCGACAAATCTGTTTCAATGGCCGGGCCTGGAAGCTCTTGTCTCCTAACATAAGGTCTACTTCCTTGGGTCCCCTCCGGGCAAAAAGAGGTCGAAAGGGGTCCTGCTCCCAGTGCTCCAAGTCTTGAAGTCTTTGGCAGTCTTCCAGTGGATATACAGTGTTGCCCAGGTTCTGCCTCCAGGCCCGCCCCCTTGCTAAAATGGATCCCAGCAATCCCATGGAGGAGTACCCTGGCCATTCTTCACTCTGGCCGGAAGTGCTGCTCTCAATATTTTTGTCCCAGGAGACCTTTCCTGCTTTCTTTGCACTTTTGGCTGTGGGCCTGCTGTACAGTTTAGTGACTTGGGAAGAATAGAGAGATCAGGGTGAAATGTCCTCAGTAAAGTGGGGCTGATTCCCCCAGTGATGGAGTGAGGCCCAAATGGAGATGACAATTACAAAGAGAAGGGGGGCGCCAGGAAGCACCCCCACCACCACCAAAGAGCAGCTTGGATTCAAAATTCAGCCCATTTTTTTTGTTCCACCCAAGTGTTTCAAGGAAGTGCAGGGCAGGATGGGATAGGAATGTGAGGTGCTACGTCCTTCCATGGGGTCCAGCCCTTAAGTAGATGAAAGAGAAAAGGGGGGGGCAGCATTATTTATTAGTTAATTACTAAGTGGCAGGAATACCAATGCAAATAAGATGGACCTACCTACCCTAACACGTGTCAAGATGCTATTAAGAGACACCCTGTTTTCCAGAGCTAAGACCCAGCAAGCAGGCTGTGCCCTGAGCTTGGCATAACAGCAATCCTGGGTAAGCAATTAACCAAGGATCAGTAGTTACAGCCTCTAGAGTGGGTGCAAGTTGTCCTTTGCCAAATGGCATCCAGGAGCACTGATTGCTTTAAGAGATTCCAGGCTAGGCTACTCAAGAAGGTTTCTCTGATTAGAGTAAATGGGTAAACTCAGCAGTGGCTGGGGTTCAGGAGCTGCTGCCAGGCTTGAAGATGGGTGATCCTTTTGTTAACCAACTTTTATATAACATGTTAAGGTCTGAAAAGTACTTTACTCTGTAGCAGCTTCTTCCAGAGTTATTCCCCTAATCTGCATTTGCACTGATGTTTTGCAGTTCCCTAAAGGCAGCCAACTAGTCCTACCTTCTGAGTTCTATGGGTAGGTAACCATAAAGTGCTGAGTTTTCTAGTACTTTTGCTCAAGAGCCCCCATAGGGGGCTCCTCATTAATAATGTCAGCCAGACACCATTAGCTTTTAGAAAAGGGATTTACTGATGTAAGATACTGTGTCTTCATATGTAGTATGGGTGTTTTCATGACTGAAAGGGGTAGAAAAATATTTTATAGTAACAGATAAAAATCAATTTTACAAGAAACACAGCCCCTTTAATGAAAATGCTCAAAGAGAGACCCAGACTATTCTGAATAACAGAGTAAACTGCTCCTCAATAAATGTAATGAAAGGACCTGTTTAGAGGCAGAGAGGAGGAAGAAGGAGAGGGAGTTTATGGGGAACAGGAAAGGGTTCATGTAGCTGCTGTTTGAATTGAGTCTTAAAGGAAATAAAGGATTCAAAGAGGGGGAGGTGAGGAACAGTTGCATTCTAGGCAAAGTCAGAGAGATAAAAAGTGGAATGTCATGAGTAAGGAAGTCAAGGAAGCCAGTTTGGCTGGGACAGAGAGTCAGGGGAAAGGATGAATATAGAATAAGGTTAGAATGGTAGGATGCTAGGCTTTTAGTTCTAGAACTGGAAGAGCCCACAGAGGCCATGGAGTTCAACCCCCTCATTTTACAGATGAGGTAACTGAGGCTCAGGGAAGTGAAGAGACATTACACAGAAGTATTTAACGCTGAAGTTAGTCAGTGAGCTTTCCAAACAAAGGCATCGATATTTGATCCTAGAAGCAATAGCTTTAGAAATATCACTCTGATGGCTGTGAAAAGGCTGTGAAAAGAAGGGTTGTACCAGAAGACTTCTGAAGTCCTGGGATCCAGCACAGTACAGTAGGGAAAAAAGTGGGATTTGGAGGTGGGTTAAACCTGGGTTCAAATCTCAGGAACTGTGGCACCTCATGGTTCAGAGCCTCAGTTTCCTCTTCTGTACAATAAGGGGGTTGGACCAGCTGACTTCTGAGGTGTCTTCCAGTTCTAGGAGCTGATGATTCTCATTCTCTTCAGCCCCTGGTTCTAGTCTATCTGGAAATCTTTGCTCCTGACTTGGCTGTTCAGCATGTCATTAAATCTCAATAAGCAGGTAAACCATAAGTGTTTCCTGGCTCCCTCGATGATACATCAGATTTGGTCACCAAACATTAAGCATTCGCAGTATGCACAGCATCGGGCCAGATGCTAAGGACTTTATAAAGACAGTCCCAACTCTGAGGATTTCAAGATCGAATTGTTTTGTCACTCACTTGGCCAGACAAAGCAGGCCCTGCCTGCCCGCAAGGAGCTCTAGTTCTATCTGGAGAGACAACATGGACCCAAAGCACACACAGAATAAGTACAAGCCAACTTTGGAAGGGAGCTGGGGAGAGGGAAAGAACTGGGCAGAAGAGGAACAGAAAGAGGAAGACGGACTGAGCCAAGGACTGAAACTAGGATGGTGCCTTCGGGAGCAAAGAGAAGGTGCTAGGTTCAGATGCTTCCACAGGAGAAAGGCAAAAATGACGAGATTTTGACCATATTGACTATGGAGTGACTCCTACGTAGTTAGCAAGTATTTCCAATTTTTCATCACCTTTGGCACTGTAAAAGTGTTGTTTGTCTGGGAGACTGTTGTTTTGTTTTCTAAAAAACAGACCACGTCTGAAGATGACCATTTTAAGAGGACAGCTCTCCAGGGGAGTGTTCAGGACTGTCAAGGGATCCCCTGAACTTGTCTTTCTGAGTTGCCAGATTTTCCAGAAACACTGGACTCAGAGTACGTGGGAGGCCCTGAAACGTATCAGGGATGAAGCCCCCCACTGACATTATATGTTGTTCGTGCCCCAAGGTGCACTCCCTGTGTATCCTTGGGAATCAAGACAGTCTGCACTAGCCTGGGAAATGGTCTGTGCACCCGGGACCCTTGTTGACAAGCAGACCATCCCATCTTCATAGTCTGGCAGTTCCCAAGGGAAAAGAATACTGCTTTTGCTATCTGAATTATTCATGATTTCTCCTGCCAGTCCCATTTAGATGGGGATTTCTGTTTTTCTGCCTCTCTCTGTTGCAATTCCATAAATATTCAAGCTTCTGTTTGGATTGTGAGCT